ATGTGTTTCTAAATTGAATTGCACAGGTTGATATCTATAGTCTTGGGATCATATTTTTTTAGCTGTGGCACCTTTTTACAACCGGCATGGGGAGAGTTGATGTTTTAACCAAGTTAAAGAACAATGAACTACCTCCAAAATGGGTCTCCAGATTTTCCCAACATGCTTCTCTACTGCAACGGTTGGTGTCTCGAACAGAGGAAGAGAAGTTAGAGTCGAAGAAAGCGAGTTGTTGATATTGGTTGACTTTGCTGAGCTGGCAGCTTTTACCAGTTAGAGGATAAGTTGACTTAGCTGGGTAGGTTCATTGTTGGTGGGCCCTTGTTCACTTTGATCCCATACGGCCTACGATTTTGCTTTAAAAAAAAATTTAAGTAAATCACAAGTTTTGGAACAATTTTTTCACACAGATTAGCTTTTGTCAAGTTTTCACACAGATTAGTTTTTGTCTTCTTGTGCTCTAAAGGATCAACTTTCTATATAGTCTATAAGATGGATTAATTGAGAACAAACCGAATTGGAGCCAAGACAAGGCAGAAGAACCTCAAAGGTTGTTCTCAAGGAGCTTGTCGAGTGTTGCTATTCCTATCAACAACTTCTCTTCTGATCAGAGCAATAGATAACTTCTCCCAAAGCCCCGGATTGATGTTTATTACCCATGCTATAAAGGCATGCTCGATGACCCTCCTATGCTCATCAAGAAAGGGAAAAATACTCACTTGATATGAAAGAAGGAGATTTGTCGCCATCTCATCAATGGTCAGTGGTCATAAGAACTTCCACAAGTTACTGGGATATTGTCTTCAGTTCACTACTCATCCTGTCTTAGCTTTTGAGTACGCGGAGATTATAACTCTTGATCCACTAGTTGCATCTAATCCGAGAAATACGAGGAGGATAAATATAGCAAGAGAAGTCGCAAACGCTTTGACTTATCTTCTCTAGGGCTTTCATCCATTCGAATCTGGATCCTTTCACCGTTTTCTTAGCTGGAAATGGGATCGCAAAGCTCCGGAATTTCTGTAACTGTATCTCCATTCCTGAAGGAGAGGAATTTGGTCATGATGATACCTTGCACAAGTACCATGAGTTTAGGCGCAATACCCTAAAGGAAACACATGGACTTGGTGTGCCGGTCATTGATCCTGAATACAAGTCACCCGGTAAAGGCCAACATGCACAACTTTGGAGAATTCATGCTAGCTCTTATGCAGATAAATGAAGCTGTTGATGAGCTGTCTCTGTCTTTCACTTATTCATCAAACCTCATGATGATGCTTGTTTCCCTCTTCACCATCATGTGACAAAGATACCGAGGAAGTTTGGGTATGCAGAGGTTATGGATTCAGATAAATGTAGCCTGCTTCGCCGGTTAAAGCGCTTTTTAGATTAGCCTTGAGATGCATTGGATTCAACTTAGGAGACTAGCATGATTCAAGTGGCGAAAGAGCTCAGACTGATTGAGAAGTTTGCATTTGGAGATCACAGTTGAGGCCATAATTCAAAGCCAATAATGCTCATTTTGGCTTGTGTCTAAAATAGCACAACTCTGATTTTCCACCAAGATAGATACATAATGTAACAGATTTACTTGCAGAAAGTTAGAAAATCACAAATGTACGTCCCAAAATGTTATGTTTTGGATGATGGTGAATCCGACATCATTTGTCCAACCCTTATTCTCTTGTTGGCGAAAGCAAATTGATTGCTTACTTGAGCTGAAGGTGATTGAATAGAGAGAGAGGGAGCCTAAAGTTATCTCTAGTTCCATGGTGCCTACATGATAGAGATCACCAAAAACATTTCATTTTTTAAAATAAAGTAAACTTTTTCTGAATGCAAATTTACTCTTTAAATTATAATGAATCACAAAATCCAAAATTAAGATATGGTCAAAATGCATTAGTTTTATCGTTGACCATCATTATTAATCGCATCATTTGCGGGCCTTAATATATTTTAAATCTATAAATTAAAATCGTTATTAAGATTTACTTACCTC